GTTGATGGTTTCACCCGCGAGGCCGGTGCAAGGTGGGCCGGGGTGGTGGGAGGGTGCTGCTGGTGGTGGAGTGGGGTGGGTGAGGGTGCGAGACCCCGATTGGGAGGCTGCCAGTGCAGGAGGGGTGGCGGCCCTGCGTTTGTCCCCAGGCTGCCGTCAGGGCCCACAACCCTCCGCCATCACCGCCTGGCACAACAAATCAGTGCGCATGCACCACACGGCGCCAGCCGCGTCCAGCGCCCGAGGCTCCGGCGCGCACCTCCCCGTAAAAGTTCCAGATCGGGGCGCTGGCAGCGATGGCGCCGTCGACGATGTGGGGGTACCTGGGAGGGGAAGTCGTCAACTTTCAGAAGCGACTGTGACGCTTGGGACGGCGTGCAAGAGGGGTTGTCACGGCGTGCAAGGTGGGGCAAGATGGGCGCGAAAGCACCGCTGCGGCGGGCCGCGGCGCCGGCAGGCGGTGCGGCCAGGGGTCGCGCCACAGCCGCACGCGGCGAGAGCGGCACCGCGCGACGCTGGGCAGGGTATCTGGGGCGGCGGCGGCGGCGGCGGCGGCCTTGCGCTCACTTCATTCTGAACCAGGCGGCAAGCATGCCGCCGTAGGAGCCCCCAAACACGATGACGGGGGCGTCTGGGGCGTCCAGGTCAGCCTTGATCTCTGTCAGCAGCTCAGCATAATCTTTGGGCAGTTGGAGGGGCGGAAGAGGGAGGGACGGGTGTGTGACAAAGGGGAAGCGGGCAGGGGGAGCGGGGGCTGGGTGGGTGGGAATGTTGATGTGGGTTGTGGAGGTCGGGTCGGCAATAGCGAGGATAGGCGGAAAAGTGCCCCTCGTGCAGCGCAAGTCGGGATGAGCTTTGACAGTGCCAACACTTGCAAACATGCGTCCCCAGCCGCCTGCGTGCCGCCCCCACTTTGCCCCCCTCCCCCGTCTCTCACCAGCCATGGCCTGCTCTGCCGTGAGCCATCCCATGTGTTTGCGCGTGTCCGCCCCAAACGGCTTCGACCGTCCGTAGTAACGGTGCTCGGCAAACACCAGCAGGGCGCCAAAGTCGCGGGCGTTCTCAAACATTAGTCCGGTGTGGTTGAGGTAGCTGTGGGATTGGGGTGGACAGGTGGATGGGTGAGGGTGCGTACGGGCATGTGAGATGGGGGCCATGTGGTGTTTGGCTGTGGTGAGGAGTGGCAAATGGTGGGTCATTGGGGGCGGTCGAAGCCGAACAGTCAGGGGGACGGGTGTTGAGCCGGCAGGCGGCGTCAGCAACTGGGGTTGAGGTGTTGAGGAGCCCTTTCTCGCTGCAGGCAGCGCCAGCCCGGGTGCCTGGCGGCGGAGCGGTGACTCACAGCAGCACGTCTGCCTCGTTGCCCGCGTAAAACCAGATAGGGCCGTCCCTGCGCCAGTGCTGCGAATTTGGGTGTGCAAGGGGAGGCAGCATGGCGGTGCAGCGGGTGCGCAGGGTTCCAGCGACCAGACCACGGCCAGCAAGCCTTTTGGGAGGCGGCCAATTCAAGATTGATTGCGCGCCGTGCATCGGCGCACACGGCCTGGCACAGCATTTATCCGGGCACCTGCTTGGGGGCCAGGTCACGCGCTGCCCCACCTTATCACATGTGTAGTACCGCTGTTTGAAAGTGGCAGCGCCAGGCACCTCCGGCGCGGACCAGCTGAAGTGGTCCAGCCTGGCGTCGCGCCAGTGCTCTTTGCACTTCTTGAGCGGGTCGTGCAGGCGTGGGTGCGAGGGCGTGGGCGGCGCCGGCGCCCGGACCGCGGATCGCGCCGGGGGGCGCCAGGGCCCCATGGGGGGCCGCTTGAAGCGACGCGCCTCAGCTGCGGCGCACATTGCACATAATACCGCCAGGAGGCACACGGCCAGCCTGGCGCGATCCATTTTCAGCCCTCTGGTAGCAGATCACAGATCACGTGACCTTCGTGATGAGTAAAGAGACGATAAAGAAAGTCGTGTGACGTAGGCTTGATGATATATATAAGTCAACAGCGGCTCGTCGCGCTCTTCGAAACGTCACACCATTCCTTGAACCTCTCAAATTCTCATCCATTCAGTCAGCTCCCGCACTTTGCCGAAAGCAAAGAGCAGACTGAACCTGTTACTATTGGAACCCAGTGTGAGCACGCCCTCAGCATCCAGCAATTGCGCACACCAAGTGCCGCGCGCCACGCCAGCACAGGGACTGTGCATCCAATCGGCAGGCGCGCCATCACGCGCAAGCGCTCGCGAGCCTACCGCGCCGACCGTTGCTATGCGCGCAGTGGCGTGCGAGGCGCTGGGCGACCCATGCAAGCCGCTGGGAAGGTGCGGGGTCGCACGGCCCCAGGCTAGGGATGCTCGGCGCCCCCGCGTCGGTTCAGCCCCGCACCGGCAGCAGCTGCTGCTCGCGCCGCGGCCCACAGCTGTCGCCGCGTGGGCTGGCAGGCGCCGTCTGAAGGGGCGCTCCCCTCGCTTTTGTGGCCCGGGGCATGCTGCCCTCATTCAACGCCACACCCAGCCTCATTCAAAGCCACGCCCAACCTCCTTCCTCCCCCATGGACCCCTCACTCTTCCCATCAAAACTCAATCACCGCACAGCGGCGTGCTGGTTCTGCGCCAGGACGAGCCCAGCCCGGCCCTTCCCACTGAAGACCACATCCGAATCAGGTGAAAGCCCGTTGAAACCGCGCGGGCACCGCCTGGACACCACTTGCACACCGCTTGGACACCCCTCGCCCCACCACCCCACCCCTTCCCCAAGCGCACCCCTGCTCGCCCCAACCTCCTGTTGGGCCCCCTACTGTCCTCGCAAGCGCGTTGCCCGCTCGCAGACCACACACCCTCCTCCACCTCTATGCACAGCCCCAAACCTCGCAGCGGCCTGCCGCCTACTCTCCTTGGTTTTCCTGCCCCGACGCCCACCCAGCTTGTCGGCCTGGCTGTCCCCCTCCCCTCCCCCCCCTGACCTCAGGGCGTCACCAGCCGTGTGACTCCTCCTTGCCTTCCGCCCCCTGGCCTCTCCACCCCAGGGTGTCAGCTGCGTCACTGAACTACCCAGATGCCCTCCAAATCCAGGGCTCGTACCAGGTGCGGCTCTCCAGACCCTTGGCGGCGCACCCCAATTATTCTTCCCTGCCGGCGGTCGCGCAAGGGGTACATTTGTGTGTGGATGGAAGGCGCCTGCGGCACGAGCAAACGGGCGGCGCCGGGGGTCTCTTGTGGGGGGGGCCGACTTGCTGCGGCCGCACACTTGGTACCCAGATGGTTAAAGCTACGGTCATGGGCATTGCTGGCGGGGTTGTGCGGAGAAGGGCGCGCGGTCGGTGGCTGGAGGCCGTGCGGGGAGGCAAACGTGGATGGGCGTCTCCGAGTGTTGAATTGACATTGCGTCCTCAACCCTGAACCCTAGGCAGGGGCTGAGAGGGGTGGGGGAACCTCGCCCGATCGAATGAATCCAGGGGGTTACGAAACGAACGCAACGACTGCCTGCAGACGGCCCCTCCGTCTGGGTTAAATGTCTCCCTCTCAAACCTGCCGCCTGCTCCACTTCTGGATCTCCCTGCGCTGCCTTTCTGCGATTGGAACCCTCTATTTTGTATTCGCAGGACAAGCCAAAACTCCCGTTTCTTATTGGAAAGGAGGCCTCCGGGGTCGTCACCGCCGTCGGCGCCCGCGTGAAGGCCTTCAAGCCGGGGGACGCCGTGTGCGGCGTGGGGGACGCGGGGGCGTTTGCGGACGAGTGGGTGGTGCACCAGGCCTCGGTGTGGCGCGTGCCGGGTGAGCTGAGCTGGGGGCAGCACACAGGCGCAATCATGGCGGGCAGGCGCATGCAGGCTGCCGCATGTGACAGCGCGTGACGTATATCTGTTCAGGAGTGAGACGCGCGCGCAGGCGGCAGCCTCCCAGGATCTGGCGCCTGCTGGATGCTGCTCTCCATGTCCTGCGCTTCTTTGCCGTTTCACAGCAGGCATGACCCTTCTCAGCCCCTGCTTTTTCCCCGGCCATCCGTGCACCTACTTTACCGCCTGTGCAATCACGCCTGTGCGATCTCGCACCGCCCTTCCCGCCCAACTCACCCCTGATTGCCTTCCAGACGGCCTCGACCCCCAGCTCGCGTCCGCCCTGCCCATCGCCTACGGCACCGCTGACCTGGCGCTGCGGCACCGAGGGAAGCTGGGGCCGGGGCAGACCCTGCTGGTGCTCGGCGCGAGCGGCGGCGTGGGCACCGCGGCCGTCCAGGTCAGCGCAAACCGCACCTCCCCCCACGGGCGGGGCGAGGGGGGCAAGGCCGTGGGCTGGGCCGGTCGGGGCAGGCGACGCCTAGCCTGGGGTGCACGGTTTTGCGGGATGGCTGCTGCTTCCTTCCAACAAGGTCCGCAGAAGCGGCAGCCTCACGCACTGTCAGGCACTGCAGGCGCCCTGACGGCCATCGTTCTGCTTCCTTCCCTGCCCGCCTTGCCTTGCACTGCCGCCTCCCCGGCGCGGCGTGCCACGCCCTTGCGCAAACGCGCACGACGCACCAATTCCTGTTTCCATAAACCCCTGCGTCGGCCCCGCACCCCTACGTACCCCTCATGGCTGCCGGCGTCTGCATCCTCCTTGGGAATCCCGTTTCCTCATACATATCTCTTGTGGGAATATCACATTATAAGTAAATGTATAAATCCAAAAAATGTTGTGCCAACTACTCGTGTTTGCAGATCGGCAAGCTGGTGGGGGCGAGGGTCATCGCCGTCACCTCTGGCGCTGCCAAGGCGGACTACCTGCGGGGACTGGGGGCGGACGCCGTGGTCGACGCGGCGGCGGCGCCAGAGGGCGCGCCGCTGCACAAGCTCATCCGCGCGGTGGCGCCAAAGGGTGCGGGGGTCAGGGCGGCGTTTGGCGGGTATCGGGTCGGCTGCGTGGTGGCTGGATGGCGCATAGTTCGGAGCATGTTTTATTAACCAATTGAGCAGTTGCCCTTCCTCGGCCGTTGATTCCAAGGCCGCTGGATTCACCCGCAGCCCACGCACATGAGCAAATCCAGTAGATGCACACTCGAACACGCCCGCGCGCCCGTATTTTCAAGCGCTCACCAAAGCCGCGCGCCGCCTCCCGTCCGACCCGCCCTTCACCCCCCCCCCCCCAAAAGGCGGTGTCGACGTTGTGTTTGACCCTGTTGGCGGGAAGCTGCTGGCTGAGGCCCTGAAGGTGGTGGCCTGGGGGGCGCAGTACCTCGTCATCGGGTTTGTAGCGGGCATTCCCAAGGTCCCCGCAAACCTGCTGCTCGTGAAGAACTGCACGGTGGGGGGATGGGGGGCCACGCGCGTGCGTGTGTGTGTATGTGTGTATGTGCAGGTGTGTTTGTGTGTGCGTGTGTGTTTTTGAGGTGTTTGTGCAAGATGAGGGATTTGTTGGCGGTGTGGAACGTCTGATTGCTGCTCTGGTGGCGTGAAGGGAGGGAAGTGGGCTGGGGCTGGTTGCGCAGCAGTGATGGCGCTGCCTGAGGGGCCAGTGATGGCACTGCCTGAGGGGCTGAGCTACTGCACCGCGTCGATCTGCATGAGTCAATCAAACACGAGCCTTGCTCGCATGTGCGACACCCGTCCCCCTACCTTGAAAATCCCTCTGGCACACATGCACCCCTCCTTCCCAACATGAATTGGCAAGTTTCAACCTTCCCCTCGCTCACGCCTCGACACCCCACCCCTCGCCTGCCTGATTTGCCCTACTCTAGGTACATGGAGTGTTCTGGGGCAGCTACATGCAGCGCCAGCCCAAGGTCCTGCGCGCCAGCATGGACCAGGTGCTCGCCTGGGCAGCTTCCGGGCAGCTGCAGATCCCCATATCGCACCGCTTTGGCCTGGAGGGCGTGCCAGAGGCCATGGCGGTGCTGCTGGGGCGCGGGGTGAGCGGAAAGGTGCTGATAGTGCCTGGCGGCGGCGGCGGCGGCGAGCAGAGGCGTGCACGCAGCAGGCTGTGATTTGGAGAGGCAGCGGGACGGGGGTTGTCCGGGCGTGTGTGCGGCAGCACGGTTTTGAATGCAGCTTGGATGTGACCCTGCGGGTCTTGTCATGTCCCTTTTGGTGAGGGTTTGGCGGCAGCGGCCTTCCCTGTGCAACCCAAAAGTAAGCTTCTTGTCAATTGGTCAGGAGGGGAATGGAGGCTGTTAGGGCGCACCCAAACCCGTGCATTTTGCATTGTCGTTGCTTTTTCGCAGCACAGGTACTATGTGCTTTCCCTCAACACTGCGTGAGTTGCGCGTCGTTTCCAACATCTGAGCGAGGGCTGCGTATTGTAACACCATGATGCTTGCCTGCAATGGGGGGCAACTGTGGGCTTGTCGTTCGTGATGCGCATTACCGCAGTGCGCGCTTTGGCGGGGCGGGGCGCGCGTCTCGAACAGGGTGCAACGGGTGCGGAGGATTGGGGCGTGGGGTTGCCAAGGGGCGAATTGAGGTATTGCTTGTGCGGAAGAATGCCTGGCATTGCAACAGGCAGGCCTGGCCAGCATGGGATGCATCTGGGGCGAGCTGGGCCAGCACAAGAGCAGCACACAGCGCAGCCAGGAGTGCTGCTGCTGCGCGCCCTAGTCAACAAGGCGGTCAAACCCCAGTCCAGGCCCCACTAGTTGTGCAACAGGGATGTCCGAGGTCAATCTATACGATCAAGTCGACCCTTGAGGTCGCATCAGCGCCCTGAGACCGGCCTTCCACTCGGCCTTCGAAACAGCGACCGACCTTCGCGAAGGCCACCCCTCCGATTTCCCGTCCAGAAGCCTTCAAATAGCCCACACACATCTTCGATCATTTATCAACACAACAAAATTGATCTTTGCACACAACAGTCCCCATACATACATCTGCGGCGCCGAAATCCCCGGCGAGATGACGCACCGCTGCACTCGCCGCGCTCTCCTGGCCCGGGCTCTGCCTGGGCCCAGGAACGCGCGTCGGGGGCTCTACCAGGCGGGCGAGGGTGTGGTGAGCGGGGAGTGTCGGCCGCCACCGGGCCGGCGGCCTGCCTCCCCCTGCTGCGCAAACAGCAGCAGGTCAACGCTCACGTTCTGGGGCGAGGACCACTCCACCAGGGAGTGGATCTGACCCCTGGGAACACACCTGCTCGGGGTTTCTCCAATTTTTCCATGCCTTGCGGTGTTCAAAGCACCCAAAACGTCATGCACTTCCGATGAGATGCTACAGCTGCGCTGGCGCCTGGCACGCCTGGGGCGCGTGCGCGCCCACACACGCTGCGCCTTGAAGAACCAAAATTCAAGGACCACGGTTGCTGTTCCTACACAAGCACCACAGGACAAGTTTCGGACCTCGCTGCTCCGAGCTGCTCCTGGGCAGTAGCCACACAGCGCCCACTCCGCCATCAGCGCAACTGCGCAGATCGTGAATCCCCCATCGCCGCCGGCGTCGTTCACGCGCCGCACGTGCCTCTGCCAACTTTGCACAGTGGCCCTCAGTGGAGGACCAGGAAGAGGGCGGGGAGAGGCGGGG